TTGTTAGTTAAAAGAAATTATAAAATCTTGGGTGTATTAGGTAAAACTAGATTGACTGGAATTGGGTTAGATCTTCTCATTTCAGCCTACTGTATTAGGTTAAAACTAGATTGATTGGGAATTGGGTTAGATCTTCTCATTTCAACCCATTGCCCACTAGCCCAATCTCTGTGCAAAGGGGTAGAGAGATTTGTTGACAACTCATTCATGGGAGCACTATCAAACTTTGCTGTTTCAATTAAAATGACATTATTGTTGTTGTCTTGGCCTCAAAAAATGACCCCTTCTTTTATAATAAATTATCATAACCCTTAAAAAATAATAATTTTCAGCAACATATACTCCTTCCGTTCAAAAATTTAAAGCATTTTTTAAAAAATTAAATGTTAAAACATATAAGATATTTTTAATCTTTTAAGATGTAATTATTATTTTTTTTAAAATATCCTTATTGATAATGAATTTATATTTATTTTAAAATATTTAATAAAAATAAATATAAAAAATATAAGATTAATTTAACAATAAATAATTATTTTATTAAAATATGAGATTTAATTAAAAATATTTTATATTTTTAAAATGAGGAATAACATTTGACACTCTGGTTTTATGGGTGGCAGCCACAAAGCATCAGGCATGGAAGGAACGCAGACGGAAACAAAGAGTTGAACAGTGAGCGGACGGAGAGAAGTGTAAAAGCTTAGGACTGAACCATGTGCTCATGAAGACAGGCACATAGGCTCTATCTGAGGCACAGAAAGAGAAAACCAACCCAGCGACCCACACCACCGCCATCAATCAACCAAATTAAAAGTAGGTCCACTCCACATGATGGGGCACTAACTATTACATGTCCCTTAGGTCTCCTTTTGGGACCACAGAAGCACTGCTCCAAATTCAATGCCTTCTGATCTCTAAGGTGAAACTATCCAATGCAATCACGAGAACCTCTTGAGTTCCCATCCCATCCCACACTTTCCTTCTTCTATCACCTACTTTTGATTCCTTTGTTTATAAATACGAAAAAAACTAATCAACCTTAGTTTTAAATTTTGATTCTTTCAATTCAATTCTTAAATTTAATTTATTTAAAACGTCAGTCATTAGATTTTAAAAATAAAATTATAAATGATAAAGTTATTATTAATATGTAGATACAATTGTTTTAAATGGCTAAACTCATCGGTAATGAGTTATAACTGAATTAAATAATAAATATTAAATTGTATCCTTTTAAAATTGAAGGATAGAATTATAAGTAAATAAAAAAATATAAGAATTAAATAATTAATTTTTTTATTTATATATTTATTTATTTATTTTGACATAGTATGAGTGTCATCAAACTTCAAGGCAAGCACTCCCTCCTACCATGATATTACTTGTTTTATAGTTATTGTGCTTGATTCAAAATATAAAATATTGGGTAGATGTTTATATATTTTGCAAATACATCATTACTTTATTGAATAATTAATGATAGCTTTTTAAATAAGTTCAATGTTATATTTATCGTATCCAAAAATATGATTAGGAAGATATAAAAAAATTTTAAGAAAAATATTTTAACCAAATTTTTTTTATGAAACATAACCCAGTTAATAATAACTTATACGCCCTTTATTTAAAAATATAAGGCATTTTTAACTGAATCTCACATCAATAGAGTAGTTACCTACTTTTAAATTAACCCTATTCTTTTATTTTTATTTCTATTAAATATCCTATAATAAATATAAAAGTTACCATCAATAAGGATATTTTTTTTACAAAAAAGTATTGATTACATATCCAAAGACTAAAAATATTTTATATTTTTAAATATTATTTTTTAAAAAAATATTTTATATTTTCTAACAAAGGGAGTATTATGTTTTAGAGGGAGTATGCTTTTGTAAAAACGTTCCCTTGATATTTCATGCATGTTAAAACCTACTCCTCAATTAAAAAAATATAAGTTATTTTAAAGAAGTTGAATGTTCAAAAAATTATGCATTTTTAGTCTTTCGAGGTATAATTATTGTTTTTCAAAACTGTCCCTGTTGATAATGATTTTATATTTATTGTAAAGTGTTTTATAGATAAATATGAAAAGATAGGGTGATCGAAAAGTAAGTAATTATTTTATTAAAAATAAAATTTAATTTATATTTTAAACGGAGTATTACTTAAACAGATTTATCTCCTTCCGTTAATAGCAACAGTTATGATTCCTTTGTTTAGTAATTTGTATTTACTGTTCAGGAATTGAACTGGGGCTGCGCCTACAGTTTTACAAAAGTGCCTTGCCACTAGTGTTGAAATTTCGAAATAGTTGCCACTAAAATAGGATTCATTAATACAAAGTTTTTACAAGTGTCAATGTAACAGGATTCAAACGTGGATGAGAGAGCAAGTACAAGGTTGATTAAGGAAGGCCTAGGGTGGGTATGTTAGGTAATGCGCACAAAAATTCTCGGGTCTCTATCAAATTCTCATGCTCTTCGTTGTGTTTACAACATGGGGCCACTGGTCATTTTACGAGTTGATTTATAACTGTTAGCACCGGGTCAAAATCTTTGGACGCTTGACGTGACAACGATCTATATAAGGAAAATGACAATTAAGAACCCTGTAATGACAATTGCACATCCTAAAATTTTAATAACAAATCATAATCTTCGTTTGGGATTAAAATAATGTGGATAGTCAGCTAAAAATGTACTCTTAAATACATTCAAAATTATTTATAATATGAGTTAAAAATTTATAAGAGTTAATTATAAATTACAAGCTAGTTATTAATTTTTTTACTATCAATATATAAATAAATTGATTATGAAATCTATTAAATATATTTGGATTATTTGTAAAGTAAGTTAGAAATTCATAAGAATCAATTATGAATTGTAAGTTAATTACTTATGATTTTTTTCTATGGTTTGGGAATTTAATAAAAGATAGTTGAAAATCTTTATAGTATTAGTTATGAATTTACTAAAACTGGATTTGAATCTTAAGCCAATTAATAAAAAGATACTTCCTCTGTTTAAGATATAAAGTATTTTTAATGAATCTTACCCCTCAATAAAATTGTTGCCTACTTTCAAACTAATTGTATCTTTTTATATTTACTCCTACCTCTATTAAATACTCTACAATAAATATCAAATTATTATTAATAGGGATACTTTAAAAAAAGGCAATGATTACACATTAAAAAATTAAAAATATATTATATTTTTTAACATCTAAATCTTTAAAAAATATCTTATATTTTTAACGGAATGAGTAATTTATTGTAAGTAACGATCATGATATGTTATTAAGATTTCAATAATTCAAGGTCTATAATTATCACTAATATTCTCATGGAGTTCTAATTGTCATTTTTTCCATGTACATTTATACACATTGTTCAAACAAATAATCTTATTCACAAATTCATAGGTGATGGTTATGAGTAGCGTGATTTATCTTGAATTTTATGGAAATATAATAGACTTTTATTAAATACAAATAAATTTGTAAAGTCAATTAGTTGTTCGTGATGTGTTGAGATAATGAAAATAATCGAACTATCATCATTAAAATAAAAACAATTAATAATAAAATATTTGAGATATATAAATGATAATTTGGTTCTTCGAAAAGCTTTTCTGTCATAATGAATTTATATAAATTGCTAAATTGCTCTTATTGAAAATAAATAATTTATAATTTTTTTTTATATTCGCAGCTTTGCTTCTTAAACTAACAATAATGCAACAGCAAATCACAATTTCGAATGTTAAATTTCTTATTGCTGTTGCATTGTTACAAATAAAAAAAAAGGTTACGAATATAAGAAGAAAAATTGTGAATCATTTATTTTCAACAATGATAATTTATATAAATTTATTAATGATAGAAAATTTTTTAAAGATTTTAGAGGAATTAGGACATTTCAAGGGACCAAATTATCATTTAATATTTAAAAAGATTTTATTATCATTTTTTCTTAAAAAAATCATCTGAAATAGACTTTGATAGACAAAATATGCACTCTCTCTAGCTCTTTTATAAATTTTTCTTATCAACTTCATTAATATTAATATAGAAAAGTAAAATACATAAAAGTGTGTGAAATTTTAACTATATTCTTATAAAACAAAAACTCAAAAAGTGATATTCTATTATTTTTTTCTTATGAAGGATAATTTTAAAAGTAATTTTAAAAAAAATTAAAAAAAATATATAATTTATAAATAAGATTAAATTAACCTTTTAAAATATGCTCTGGAAATATGAGTAAGTATATTTGACAGGATATCTTTAGTAAAATTTCCAGTCCATGAGTACCTAGCCTTGAAACAAATTTTTCATTGTCACATGCTAGAATGCCTAGTGACTCGAGAAAAAAGCGTAAAACTTGTTACTGTGTTCAAAATTTTCAAATTCCCACCAAATAGTTCCATGAAAATTCACCAATCTGGGTCAGGACTATGTGGTCAAAGAAGTTTAATATATTCAATTATAAGTTCCCACAGTTTGGCCATTGCTTGGAAAGAATGGCAAGTTATAAAATTAGGCGATCCAACAGGCCTAACAAAAGAAAAATCAGATTTATTTTTCCAAAGATCTCAATCTGTTTGCCTTTTGGTTGCTTCGATCACAATTATTATCAACGGTATCATGCTGGAACATTTGCCGTCTGCTGGTTATATGATCATGCTGCCCCGCAGATTTACATTATTTATTGATGTTTGTTGTTTACCGTTTTTAGTTCCCTCTTTAACACAATTCTTTTCTTTTTGGGTAAAGTTAACACAATGGTTCAAGTGCCCCTTTTCTTTTTCCTTCTCCCTCCAGTCATCTCAAGGGTCCGTATCATCTCCAATGCCGTTTCAACTTTGGAGATTTTGCAGGGGACCAAATTACTAACCTCACAACAGTGTAATGAACAGAGTGTAATGAACAGGGGACCAATTTGAAGCAATACATCTGCCAGATGCTGCTTAAATCATACTAATGAAGGATTCAGAAAACACAGAGCATGTCCGGTAGATAGTAACGACAAAAGAACCAGATGCATCATACTGTTTACATAACAGATGTTACCAGAATCTGAAGTAAATAATAAGAGTTACAAATTGTCATGCCAAATGAAAAAAAAAAAAAAGAAAAAGAAAAGAAGGTAGGGCGTTTGTGTGAAATTTGACACAGTTACAGCATCTCTCATAGGCACAACACATGTGATTCTTCTTCCTCACTGGTAGGCTAATTCTTAATGTAATTAGAGTCTTCTTTGCCAGAGACAACTGGGAATTCATCATACTGATCAGCGAAACCATGTTTCTCAGCCATGCTCTTCAGAGAGGAGAAAACTTGGTACATGGAAGGTCTATCTTTAGGCCTAGAAACAACACAAGATATGGCAACCTTCATGAACTGGGTAAATTCATCCCCATGTTCAGGATTTTCATTGAACAATGCTTTATCTATGGCTTCTTTGGTTCTTCCTGTCAATGTTAACCAATTGACCCAATCCACTAAATTCCCTTTGAATCCTTCCCCTCCAGTGTTTACTTCCACTGGCTTCATCCCAGTGACCAATTCCAAAAGAACTACTCCAAAACCATAAACATCGCCTTTCAAGGAAGCAACCACGGTACTTGAATACTCAGGAGCAACATACCCAAACTCACCCAGATCTCCATTCACAAAGGAGCTATCATTGGGATCGCGAGTAACCACGAGCCTTGCCAATCCAAAATCCGTTATTCGAGCTTCAAAATCATAGTCAAGAAGGACAATATTTGAGCTGATGTTCTGGTGAACATAGGGAGGTTGACAAGCATGGTGAAGCCAAGCAAGTCCTCTGGCAGCACCTATCCCAATCCTGAGTCTCGTTGGCCAGTCCAAAAAACTATACTGACTATTATTACCATGACCATTTTTATGCAACTGAGAGTACAAGGTTCCATTGAACATGTGCTTGTACACCAGAAGCTTCTCTTCTTCCACCAAACAGAAACCCAAAAGAGGTACCAAATTGGGGTGTCTGAGCTGCCCCAACCTGTTCATCTCGGATCGGAATTGTTTCTCACCAAGTTTACAAGAATTAAGCCTCTTCACGGCAAGAGCTGATCCATCTCGCAGAACAGCCTTATAAGAGACGCCTGTTCTACTAGAAATCACAATATTTTCTGGGTGGAAGCTGTTGGTAGCAATTAGCAAATCAGCTAATCTGACTTTCACGATGGGTTTCTGGAACAAAGAAACTTGAGCAAGCTTGTGTGACTTCAACAACTCAATCCAATCGCCCACTTGCTTTCCACCACCAGAACCACTATACTCTTTCTTTTGCTCACTGATTCTCAGGAAGAACCACCACCAGAGAGCGAAACCCACAACTAAAGATCCCAAAGCTCCAACAGCACCAGCAGCAATAATAATCCCGAGACTTTTACGACTCAATCCACCACACTTTGATCCAATAGGTTTCCCACATAACCCACTGTTGCCATCAAAATCAGCTGCGTCAAATTTGGACAAATCCGGTGGAATAGAACCCGAGAGATCGTTATTGGCAACAGAGAGCTTCTTCAATCGGTCAAGCCGACCCAGTTCATAAGGGATCGAACCCGATAGCTTGTTATCATTTAGAACAAGTGTATTCAGGAACTTACAATTCACAATCTCGGGTGGGATGGAACCCGATATTTGGTTACTGGAGAGATCTAGGGTGACCAGATAAGGCAACCAGCTACAGATATACGAAGGGATCGAACCGGAGAGAGCGTTACCGGAGAGGACGAGGGTCTGGAGGCTTCGGCAATACTTGAGCGACTCAGGGAGTCTTCCCGCTAGCTGCATGTCACGGAGCTGAAGGCTTATGAGGCGGGTCTCCTTCTCGTTCCAGCAAGAAACACCGACGAGCTGGCAGATTGAGGACACGGAGGTGTTGGTGAAGCTCCAAGTGCTGAGTTTTCCATTTGGGTCGGAAAATGAGTTCTTGACACCTTCGAGGCAAACAACGTCATCCTCGATGGAAACAGAAAGCGATGAAAAATAAAGGAGAAAGATTAAAGCGGTGAGAAGGATGAAGTTCATGATGAACGAAATGGGGCTCACGTTTATGTTGTGAATGAGTGCTTTGGAGTTCATAATGAAGCAGAGGTTGAAGAGATTGGGACAGATAGAGAAAGGAGAGAGGGAGTACGCAGCTTTTTGACTACCAGTTGAAACGTTGAATCTTTTGGGATGTGCCTATAATTGGAAAGCATTCAAAGATGATACTAATGCGACGCCGTTTTTTATGTTAAAGATTCTTGGAAAAATCACACCTAGCGTCCTCCCAATATTAATTACAGATAAAAATTAATATGAGATGAATTATTATTAAAATAAAAATATTATTTATTTTTTAAATAAAATTTATTATTAATTTTTATTTATGATTAGTTTTCTTAAAAAGAGATAGATATGATATTTTCAAGGAACGCCATGTAGTTTTAGATTTAATTATGGTTTTGAGAAAAACATGATTGATTTCAGTTTTTTTTCTTTTAATATAAGTGCACGGAATGGTCAACCCCTCAAAGCTAAATTGTTGCATTTACACAAGGATTAGGGTTCTAATTTGTTTAAGTGACGATATTATCTGCTACGCCAGCTTTAGTTGATTTGATATCAGCTTTGTTATTTTCATTTTTTTGTTAATATTGAAGTTCAGTTTTTGTTTTTTTTTTTTTAAGATATTGTACTTTCTTTGCTAAGAATGTAGTTTAACATGTAAGGAATGAGGGAAGCCAAGTCCAAATATTTGGCCTCTCATAATAAAAACAGGTGGGGTTTAAATGTCTAGTTAGTTTAAGGTTTTTTTTTTTTTATCTCTTTGCAGAAATTATACAGTAAATTTTAAAAATATATACTTCTCTGTTAAAAAATATAAGATATTTTTAACTAAATCTAACCTCTCAATAAAGTAGTGACCTACTTTCAAATTAATCCTATCTTTTATACTTACCCATAGTAAACACCCTATAATAATATAAAGTAGTTCATTCAATAAGGGTACTTTTAAAAAAAGGCAATGATTATACTTCAAGAGACTAAAAATATTTTATATTTTTTAACATCTAACTCCTTAAAAAATATCTTATATTTTTTAATAGTGAGAGTAATATTTTATTTTTTTCCATGCATTTTAATGTTTGTAAATGCTAACTTATAATGTAGAATTTTCATCCAAACCAGCAGAGGTATAAAACCCGTTAACTCACTCCGTCTGAAAATTAACAAAGTTCTTAACTTTATCATTGCTAAACCTATTATCACCAGAGAAGTCAAAGAGTCAAGTTCAAAGCACACAAGCCTACATTAAATAAGGGTAATCTAAAAAATAAAATAAATATCTCATATGTTACCTTATAAAAATAACGAGAAAATCACCCCACCTTATGAAAATTAAAAAGGATAGGACATAGGAGGAGCATGCAAGTTGAGGCAAAATTACCATTGATTTTCATGGAAACAATTGTTTTCAAAGTTCTTTTTAAGAGAAAGTAGGGCCATGTTCTGCCCAACAAAATGCTTTCTTGGCCCAGGATAGCTTATCAATATGATCGGGCCAACCAAGTTTTAGAATTTGGGGTATACCCTTCTTTTTTAACAAAAAATAAAAAGGTTCTATGAAAAAAAATAAAAAATAAAAAATAAATAGTATTCTTAATCGTATAATTTAGTTAATTAGATAAGTTGCTTTTATTTTTTGACAAATTTTTTCTTCAAGTTTTGAAATTACTTTTTAAAGCCTATTATCTAGAATATTCTCTAAATATCTTCTATCATTGTTGCGTATATATTTCAATTATTATTAAAAAATATTATTTGATATTATTATATAATTATTAATCATTATTATGTCATCTATTTTCTTATTGTATATAATGTACCTTTTAGATTAATAATACATGTGACATTTTTCAATCATTCTTTGGTTTATCTCTCTTATCTCTAATAGTTTTCATGATTCTTTGGATTAATCTTGTTGATCTTCCTTCTAGTAAAACTCTTCTATAAAAACAAAGCTCATTTTGATGGCTCTTTGAAGCAATATAAGGCCTGCTTGGTGGCCTAAGGTTTCACTCAAGAGTCTAGTGTTAATTATAAGGAAACTTTTGCACTTATTGCCTTTACGACATTTGTTCACAGTCTTTTAGCCATTATTGCTGTTAAGTATTGGAGTCTTCATCAGATGGATGTTAAAAATGCCTTTTTGAATGGTGATATAGAGAAAGAAATGTATATGAAACCTCCACCTAAGTATTAACATCCAAAAATGAAGGTTTATTGTCTTTATTGGGCTCTATGTGAGCTTAAGCAAGCTCCCCATACATGATTTGCTAAGTTTAGTAATACTATGAGTTAACTAAGTTTCACATGTAGTCATCATGAGTTAGCTCTTTTTGTTCACTCTACTACTCGTGGTATTGCTTTGTTGTTGTTATATGTTAATGACATGATTATCATAGGTAATGATGATACAGGAGTCTAAGAGCTTAAGACATATTTGGGCCACAAATTCAAAATGAATGATCTTTGAAGACCAAACTATTTTCTTAGACTCGAAGTTCATTATGGGAGAGATGATATATCTCTTTCCTAGGTCAAGCATGTTATTAATTTGATATCTCAATCTCACCTTTCTAACAAGGAGATTGAAAAAACTCCTATTGAACTGTATGTTCACTATACTTCCATTAATGGCACCTTATTGAATAATCTCACTTGTTACCGCCAATTAACTAGGGGCCTTATCTATCTTATTGTGACTCATTCTGACATTGCTTATGTAGTCCTCATTGTTAACCAGTATATGTTAGAGCCTTAAACTGCTCATTAGATCATTCAGTGCATTAAAGGTACTCTGTATTTTGGGCTTCACTTCTTTGCTAACTCTTTTCTTGTACTACGAGCTTACTCTGATGCTAGCTAGGGTGGTGATCATGATGATCAACGGTCTACGACTAGTTTTTACATCTTCCTTGGCCATTCCCTTATCTCTTGGAGAAGTAAGAAGCAAACGTTAGCCTCTCGCTCTGATACTGAATTGGAATATTGTGTACTAGCAAACATGATTGCTGAGGTAGTTTGGCTCCGTTAGTTATTTGATGAGCTAGGAGTATCTCAAGCTTCTTCATAAACATCTATTATGATAGTTAAGCTACAATCAAGATTGCTCATAATGATATGTTTCATAAACAAACCAAACATATTGAGATCGACTGTTACTTTATTTAATAGTATATTGTTCAGGGCACCATTCAACTCGTTCCAATTCAAACCAAGCATTAGTCGACAAACTTGTTTACTAAATTTTTTCATCCAGGCCGCTTTCACTTTTTAGTAGACAAACTTAAGTTACTTTCTATTAAGCCATCTTGAGTTTGAGGAGAATATTATCTAGAATATTCTCCAAACATCTATTATCATTATTGTGTATATATCTCAATCATTATTAGGATATATTATTTGACATTATTATATAATTATTAGTCATTATTGTTCATCTATTTTCTTGGTGTATATAATCTACCCTTCAGATCAATAATACATACGATATTTCTCAATCATTCTCTGGTTTATTTCTCTTGTAACATCCTAAAAATTATCTTCTTGATTAATTAAGCTAATAAAGGTAAATATGTAAATTTAAGTACATATGGATTTGAAAATAATTAGAAAGAGCTTTAGGTTTAGCCTTTGGATTAGGTTTGAAAGTAAATTGGGTTACTCGAGCTCAAATTGTAGAGAAAAATTGAATTCTGGCCCATTGTGCATTATGCTGTAACATAAAAATTTAGGTTGTAGCATAATTTTCAAAATCAGTCTTTTAAAAATGTAAAAATTGTAAAAATCTCTCTCACTATTACCCGATTAACCCAATTCCAAGTAATTAAGAGATTATCTCAAAGTAAGACTGATAAATTTATCAAATTATGTAAATGAGATCCTAAGATTTTAATATTTAAAATAATCCCATACACTTTCAATATATCCAATCAAAGTCTAAAAATTGATGCGAAAGCCTAAAAATCGAAGAAATAATCAAAACATTTACATATAACTCAAAACAATAGACTATGCAAGAAAACTACACATGTGCCACAACTAATTGCTCTTGCCCCACGGCAAGAGGCACCATACACCGTGGTGCATTACACGAATTTGATAGCATTTTATTGTCAAATCGATAGCACAGGGATGAACTTTCAATGCATCCTTAACCTCTATTTGACATCCGATTGGGCTGATCTTAGTGTCTATGGAGAGCTTTCTCCTTGTACAAGTTTCACAACTAAATCATTTTTTACAAAAAGTTTGGGCACTCATTATAAATTTACTCCTTCACATCAACTCACATCTAAGGTACCCATACTCTAATAGATATGCCAAAAGCCTACACCAACCTTTAGACCATACTCAATGAACTATTTAAGACTCGTGCAACACACTACAAGCTAATTAACACACAATATCATAAATTCAACCCTCAATCCTTGATTTCACAAAAACATAAGGGGGAGGTAACTTTGCATTAAATTGTCAATATTCATTTAAAAAAATACACTTTACTCTACTTGTACTAGTATTTTAGCCTTATATAAGCCTTATAATCACATGTCAACAATTCAGGGCATGAAATACACACAATATTTTCATTTATAATACAAGTAGTTCAAATAATGGTATAAGTCCTAGTTGGCAAAATAACCATCAAAATACACATAAATAAAACTAAGAGGACTATAAATAGGATTTATTTAGAATGTTATGCCTCTGGTTGTTTTTCCCAATCCTGATTCGATAAGGTGTAACATCTAAACATTTTTTTAACCCTGATTTATTAACCTAATGAGAGTAGCTAGTGAGTTAATGAGGTGTGTGACTGGAGGGACTTAACTTGGCATAATTATTATGATTTCTGCCCTAAAAGTGGGTTTGAATCAATGGCGAGCCACCCAGGCAAGAAAAGAGGATGAAAAAGTGAAGAATTGTTTTCCGTGCTATATGCCACGGCACGTGGTTGGTCCACCACAACGCACGAAGATAATTTAAACATAACAGGCTCCTCTGTGCCATGCGCCACGGTGGAGGGCATCATATGCCGTGGCGCACGGCTAAAAATTAGATAAATTAGCTTGTGAGCTACATG